ATAACATTATTTGAACACTGTGAAAGAAACATTTTGAAAATGTTTGGAAAAAAAGATTTTTGACATATAGATCTTTTAGGGGACAAAGAACAACAAAAGCGTAAAACAAGCAAGTTGGACACATATGGTCTAGAGCATTCAGTCATCATTATTATTTATATGAAGTCCATCAGAGTTGTAATTAACATTGGCATTCAGGACTGCACTGTACTGCATTTGAACAAGCAGCAGCAGAAAAGCCCTTTACTTGGGACACACCTGGGTAAAAGGCTACACTTGAGTATCTACTGCTACTGCCCCCAGTACCTGCTAATTCCACCCATGACAACGTAGGAAAACCAGGAACTCTCCAGGACTAAGGTGGTGGAGATACAGCTACAGAGGTACAGACCGTCTATCCTGGCAGACAAATACTGTAAATGCTAAGACAAAAAATAGTAAAAATGCAGCATGCCATCTCTGCTCTTTGAGGACTAACATGCATGGCAGCTTCCCTGCTTTCAAACATGGGGAGAATGATTCAAGTCCTCTAGTTGGCTTTTCTATTAGAGCACTGCAAACACACGTATACCTTGTGGCACTGTAAAATATTTGCATTCATTCAGGTTTAGCTCCACAATGTTGGAAGCTCCAAACAGGACTGATCATAAACAGCTCCTTCTTATTTTTGTTGTTTTGGTTTTGTTTTGTTTAACCAGGGAGTAACTCTTTTTGGTTTATTGCTATTGTGGCTATCGAATGTTAACACTGGAAAGCCAGCTGTCTTATTGCCACGGATCTATTTCTTAAAGTCTTTTTTTCAGTATGTGCTTGTTTACCAGTGTGGCTTCATATTGTTGGCTAAGATCTGTAGACCCCTGGTGTGGCTACAGGAAATATTTCTAAAGTGCTCCTTTTCTGAGAAGTCTGCAGTATAATAGCCATCTCTTTCTATGAGGCTTCTGCTAGTTGCACTAGAAGTGCTTTCTCTGTCTTTTCCCTCCTTTCCACCTCTCTGTCCTTCCCAAAAGGCCTATTCTGGAGGTAGCAAAAATTTCACCTCTTTAAGAGTTGGTAGCTAGGAACTGTCTCCATCCATCCTGTGTTGGAGCCAAACTGCAAGTCCAACTTTCACTCTTGCAGCTCTCGAGTTATTTCACTTGGCTCTTTCAGTTGTTACTGTCTCTACAATTCTCCTTCACCAGTACAGCTGACATAGGCTGCCTACATATAGTTGTGCTTCACAGACCAGACACGTGCCTCCTAAAGAGACAAAACTGGAAGTTTTGTGAGTGGCCCTGGCTGTGAAAGGACATGTGTTCACCGATAACCTGGGAAACGTGCCCTACAGCTCCTTCTGGCTTGTAGCTTGCCAGGTACTCCTGGGTGCAGCACTGTCCTCACATAAATTGTCAAGATAAGTTAGTATGGTAAGATGTAGTATCCATGGTTTCTAAAAGAGCCCTTTGGAAACCTGGTCTGTATTTAGGAACAAAAGGGGCTGTTTTAGAAAGCTGGTCTTACTAATCAAGGAGAACAGTGGAACTTTTTTCTCCTTTGACTTAAAGTGTGATGTTACACTTTTGCAGATGTTACAAACTCAAATTTTGCTGTTTCATTGAGGCCTGTATTCTGCAAGGTGATGATGATAACTTGAATTTCCCTTTTTTGTCACCCAAAGATGCAGAGGTTCCATGTGCAGAGCTATATCAAAACCGGGAGGTTCCAGCTCTAACTCAGCTGAACTTTCAAAGCTGCCTAAATGATTTGGAAACCTAATTCACATTAAACTTTATGGGAACTGGACATCAAAATTCCCTAGGTGGCTTTGCAAAACACAGCTGTAACTAATTGCTGTGCAGAAAGGTTTGGGGAAAAGATTCTGATCTAGAAAAGGAGAGAGCTTTCAATGCCAAAAAGCTTTTGCAATAGATCCTCCTCACATGGAATCCACAGAGCTGATTCTAGGCTACCTCTTCAATGAAGTAAACGGAGCCATTTTACAACAGCTAATCCTCTCTGTATAACTCTTTATGCACCTGCAGAGGTTATAAACTAAGTGGGAAAAGGAATTTCTTCTGCTGAGATTCTAGTAATCCCTGCCACTGCAAACTATGGGGCTGATAGGTTGAATAAATCAAAACGACTGATGAACAATTCATGCCCAACTCATTCCCATTGAAGAAATTGTCACATTCCATCAGTGAGGCTGGTAAAATCTGTGACCATCTCAACCCTTATCAAGCCTTAATTTCTTCTTCCTGTTTTGGCAATAATTTAACGTTAAAGGTCACAGAGTGAAACGCTCAGAGTCAGGAAGCGGAGGAGTTCTGATTTGATAACAACGTTATTTAGCCCCACGAAGCCCCACTTGGTATTTTCTCCTCCTTTGTTCCCTTTCAAGACAACGATCCATCTTCCACTGAAGACAATGGGAGTGTTTCCACTGAATTTAATGAGACTTGGATCAGGCCCTAAATGTCAGTATTACTCTATTAATATTTATGCTGTTGGAAGTATGTCAGAAAATATACAGGATGTGCAAAGTGGCTGAGTGAGCTGTAAGAATCATAAATTTTCCTGACTTAGTCATTTCTTCAAAAATCCCTAACATTTCTAATCTAACCATGGTAATAATAAAATAGCAGGATTCTAACCTTCTCTTCTTACTATACAAACTGTAATCTGAGTTTGCTCAAGAGCTTAAAAATCATCTCCTTTGCAACTCCCATCTAGCTCATGTCCAGTCTCTATCAAACACACACAGACATGTGTGTGTGTGTATATATACATACATAGAAAAATTATTTTGGAAGTTGCACATTAAGTAGTCAAAATTAAATGACTCAAAACCAATAGGCTGCATGATTTACAGTGCCTAAAGAACCTTAGCTTAGCAGCCTTCAAAGAGGGGAGCTGAGCAACTAAAACTGTCATTGCAAGGCACCCACAAACATGACAACTGGCAACTACTCCAAAAAGGTTTCTCCAGGCTGTTTTCCTTGGGGTTTCCTCTTGACGTGAGGAAAGAGTCAGCAGTGTGGCAACAAGGGGAGCCTGCTGGCTTGCCATGGGAATGACTGTCAGCACAGGGTGTGTGGCAACCACAGCGGTCAGACCCTCTTCAGGCAGCTCCTCCAACCTCCTCACTGCTGGAGAAGTGATGGGCAAAACACTCCCAAAGGCCTGGAATTTCTGTTTTCCTTGACTAAGCCCCCAGCTGGTTGGATTCCTCCCTGCTTCGCCACCCCTTCCCAGCGGGCAGTGCTTGCCTGAGTGGGTGGAGGAATGCGGACAAGCTCACAGCATAATAGTCGACTGACCACCAGGGCTGTAGAGTAAGATCACTGGGGAAAAACAGGCATTGAAGAATGTGTCTGAGCTATGCCCAAGCTATGCGGGAGGAGGCTTTGTCTCCTGTGGCACACTGAGCCCAGTCAGTGCCACAGACAGGATGGCAAGGGGCAGGGAGAAATCACAGGAGAACTCCTAGGGACAATTTGGAACAGATGGTTGCTGGGTGCATCACCTCCTAACCCTGTCAGCTATCCACAGGTTGGTCTAGACTGAAGGATAATGTGAAAGAACACAGAAATCGCTTAGAAAGGAGCTACAAAGAAGACAAAAAGATTAATACGAGCCAATTCTGCTGTGCTGCTGGAGATATGTTGCTTCCAGCCTCCAGATTAACCCACTGCAGGCTTAGAAACACACTGAGGTAGGTGACAGCATCATTCTTGAGGTGGGAAGGGACCTCTGGAAATCATCTTGTCTAAACTCTACTCAAGCAGAGTCACCTACAGCCAACTGACCAGGATGACACAATGAACTTCAAGAGAAAGTTCTTCAATGTTGCTTAGCTGTCTGAAAAAGAAATCCAGGAGACTTTCATCCACAAGACACCTGCGCATATCTAAGCAGTTATCTCAGGGAAATAGGGGCACTGCCACACATTTGAAGAGCACAGAAGTCAAAAAATGAGGAAAAGCTCTCCCTAACCCCCTCTCAACAACATCAGAAGTAGAACATGAGCACACTTCTATGCTCCAGCTTGACCCTTCAGCCACTTTCATCATTTCTTGAGATTCCCTCATTTCTTGCATCTCTAATCCTTGAGCAATCCAATGCTGAAAACACAATCATCAGAGGTGAACCTGGGCTATGCTGGGAAGGCTGGTAGTGCATGGAAAGAAACCAGAAAATGTGCCTTTGTACATGCACGTGACTACATTTACACCTTCCCAATTAAAACCCCGCTCTCAAATCAGCATTCGTACCCTGAAGCGGACCAGACATTGCCACCAGAATAGCCATTTTCTTTTCCTCCCCAACATTCAGCAGCCTAAAGTGTAAATTTCTCCTTATGTGCGCTTAAACATGCACACCAAGCTGTTTTTCCTAGGCTTATCGTTATTTGTTGCTTAACTTGCCCTAGGAGTACCTTGGTTTGATGGCAAAAGTATTATCCTTTGATAGACCAGATGATACTGCTGACCCTGCTACCTCCCTTTATGTAGACAATCACAGCCACAGTAATAGTTCCACAACATTTCACCTTATCTGTGAGCAGAAATATCACACAAAACAACTCTTCTCACTGGATCCACAACTAAAGCATTCTCTAGGGAATCCTAGATGTAGGGAACATTAAAACAACCAAACTGGAGAAAATCACTGTCTCTAACTCAATATCCCACCTCCAACAGTGACCAGCATCAGATAATTCAAAAATGCCAGAAAATCCACAGCTGGATGGATTATCGTTTGTGTCTAGGGGGTGATCACTTCCTAGGGGCAGTTTCCTCTTCTTCTGTGAAGCCAGCAGCCCAACTTCTCAGCTTGAGCCTATCAATCTAAAGACCCAAATCTGAAAGATCCATTCCTTGAGGGACATTCTTGCTGGGACAAACTTGACAGTCTCAAACCATTTCTCATGTTGCCAAACAGCAGCGTATGCAAAAACAAAATCTAAGGACTGAAGCTGGGATTTTCAGTAGCACAAACTATTTCTCTCGAGATGCTGGACAGCTTACAACAGCACGGCCTCTGAAATTCCCAGTCCATAGGATGAACGAACAAAACAAGCTTTTGTACAAAACCAGCTATCGTAACATTACTTTTTATTTTTCAAAGTATAGCGAAGCAATTAGTTCCGCAACGCTTCTGGACGGGTGTTTTATCACTCTGGTGATGGGTGAAAGGGCAGGAAGCAGAGGGACAGGATGGAATTTGGAGCATGACCCAAGTCCTGCCAGGACACAGGGGAGGGACGCTTTCCAAAAAAGAGATAACTTTGCCATGGGGGAAGTGATCCTCCTTGCCTCTGTATCCTGTGGACACAACCTTCCCCCTGAGCATAACATCTCTTACGAAAATGTGCATTGCAGCCTTCTCCAGTCTGCTTCCCACTTCGCTATGGCAGAAAAGCTAATCCTTGATAATCTGAGTTTTGCCAAAAATAGATCCACCCCTGCCACTCAGACGGTATCAGTGCAGTGGAAGTTAGGGAAGAATCACACCCGGTATTACATTTTGGCTGTAGATTTCCTGTGGAAAAAGGAAGATGAAGAAGAAGTATTTCATGTGATGGGATGTATCACAGAAAATACCAGCTCTCATGACTGCTAGAAACTGAAGTAATGGCCAAAACAATACAATGGTTCATATTATTTGGGCACAAAGTTTGTCCTTCTTCTACAGAGTCAACATTTCCTTCAGTAGAAAAATCCCAGGTCAATCCTCCTCGCTGCATACCTGTTAAATGACACCTGTGCTTTAGAAATGCAGGTTGTGGTAATTTTTCCCCATTATTTTTCATGGAAAAAAATTAATTTTATGGATCTCACTTTAGAGCACCTTATAAGAGCTTAACTCTGAAAGCGTTAAACATGATTCAGAAGCCTTGGCTAGAACTAAGTCAAACTTTGAGAAGTTGCTTATATGACTTGTGTTAGTATTTCAGATCCTACAACAGTTTATTGCATATGAAAAATATCATTCCCCTTCAAGTGTTCTATTTAAATAAAACTGCCATTTTCAGCAATAATACTTCAGAAGAATTTGTGCCGAAGGCCAAATAAGTCATTTTTTTTCAGCTGTTTTGGAGCTCTTCCACTCCAGCCATTCACTAAGTATTCAATGAACCTCCTTGAAGTCCTTATCAGGCCTGAAATTATAACACAACTTTAAACTTGAGGATCTTTGCCTCATTTTCAGGCTTATGTTGAGACGAACTCCACGTTTACAGTTAATCTGGACCACCAGTAGTTCTTTCAGACATTTTTTTTTGTTATGAAAAATAATATGCAAGGAATTTAAAAAAGGTGATATATCTGCAAATGACCCTCAGACTGCATGATCTCATCTCTCAGCCACTCAACATCTGGGAACAGGAATGAAGTTTGGCGTTCTTTAGCAACAGATCAGCAAAGAAGACAATAGATACCATTTGAAGCACAAGCATACCCTCTCAAGCCTGCCACCTCTTCCTTTCCTGCCTCACAGAAGTCAGGAACAGACTATTTGCCATCCAATAACTCCATGAAGCAAGAGTGGGGATGTAAGCAGTCATTTTCCGGTTTAGAAGTGAAGGCAAATGGTTAAAACCCAATTTGACAAGCGCTAACTGCAGAATCCAAAGTGGCTATTACCAACATCATCACAAGCTCTGTTACAATTGGGGCATGGTTTTGGGATGTTCCTATGAGGCAGCTGGAACCATGTAGCCCCAGAGGCATGAGCTCGTGAGGGAATTCACTGCCAGCCCTCAGCTCTGGCTGCCAACCTAGCACATGAGCTGGGGACAGAATTTCCCTTCTCAGCCTGTATTTGATGTTTTAAGTACAGTAGACCAGGGATTGTCTGTTACTTTGTCTAAGATGAAAAATACACAAGAGAATACGATCCTGATCTTCTTGGGCATCTCTGCCCTTCTTCCATATTAGGTTGAAACCAGCTGAGAAGTCCTGAGGAGGGAGATAGAGGGACAGATATACAAGCAGGAGTACAAGTTCATACAGAATACTTCTACACAAAGCTCATTTCCTTAGAAAACTGGGTAAGAAAATACCCTAAATCCTCTCAGCTTTTGGATGCTGAAATTATATCTGGCCTGGTGTGCCTATACCCAGCTGCCAAAGCTGTAGAGTTAGGAACGTGCCCACTAACACAGACAAGAAGAAGCTGTGTCCTGTTATCTCCTTCAGAGATGGCATCAGGACACAAAAAGCTGATGTGGTTGTAAAAAATAAAAAGTGGCCCTACCAAGGCAGGCTGAAAGTTCATAATTCAGTATCTTGTCTCCATCAGCAGCCACAATAGGCTGTTGAGTGCCACAAATAGGAACTCAGCGAGGAATAAAATTCAGCAGATGTATTTGATGCTTTCCACTGGTGTCCTCTTCCAACAATTTTTGCTCAGCAACTTCTTGCAAATACTGCAGTCACTATGTTCTTAATCTTGGTGGATTTCTCTTTGATGAACTTCTCCCCTTGAACTCGTGCAAACCTGTAAGTGACAGAGAAGTTTGTCGGGATACAGGCTTTTCCCCAGGTTTTCTGAAAATATAGGGCAGTTATGAAATGTAGGTCTTTGGCCTGCTCAGAAAGGAAGCAACAGCTGTGCCCCATGTTGCTCCCGCCTTCATGGGACACACTGGCAGAGAGAAGCTGAGAGGCAGCTCAGAATATGGCAGTCTCAGCAACAATCAAGCTACACTGTTCCAGGAAAAATTAAAAGCAGAGTCTTTTAGATACCTTGCAAATAATGAACATAAAACAAGAGGCCTTGCCCTTTTGCATTTTAATCTTCCAAGATGAAGCTAAACTGGTTCAAGGTTTCTCATCCAGCATAGGCTGAATCTACGAGGGGTGTTCCTGGCACAACCAGGTTAGGCAAGAATGTGATTCCCTGCTGCACTGGAACTCAGAAAGTCAAGTGAGCAAACGCCTCACATGGAGGTCTGGCTCCAATTTGACCAAAAGGCAGATATCAGTCCTGAGCAGGTGGCTGAACACATCTGTTAGTTTTCTGCTTGTTCTCCAGCAGTCTCTCCCCAAACAGGGCCCTGACCCGATTCTCACCAAAGCCCACAAAGGTGGCCGACCTGCTTTAGGAGTTGGACTGCACCCAGCGTCCAGCCAAGGGAATGCCACCAGCTGTCCCGCAGCCCAGGGCTCAGCGGAAAGCCATCGGGCCTCCTGCATTCTTCTCCAGCTTAGCGGGCCGTCCAGCACCAGCCCTGGCACTCACACAGCTGCTCAAATCAGATATCACCATCCAAGCAAGGCATGACTGTCATCGGCCCCCGGCACCACGACCTCTCCCTCCCAGCAAGCCACAAGAGCATGCCACATCTTGTGCCCACATTTTCTTTCCTAAGAGAGCCCCAAGAGGCTCCTCTGGCACAGCTCGCATTGCTGGTGAACAGCTCCCTCCGGCTTCCATGTTTACATCATTGTGGTTGTTAATTTGAGAGAAGCCTTTTATTTTAGACCCCCCCCCCCCCCCCCCCCCCCCCCCCCCCCCCCCACACCCCCTCTCCCTCCACAGGGGGGGAAAAATGTGACCTTTAAGATTGTTTATACCAATCAACAAGAAGGCCTTGCGCTGCCAGATTCCAAGAAACACGAGACAGTCTTCGAGCTGGAAGAGGGAGGGGAGCTGGGCAAGGAGAGGGAGCAACCCAGGTCAGGAGTTCATAGACAGGATAAAGCAGAAGGCAGCACAAGGAGACGGGTGGCAGGGCATGCCCTTTCCATTCAGAGACAACATGGGCATTGACAGCCTCGCAGACAGCGTGCAGCAAGCCAGAACACTGTTCCTGTGTCCCAAGGTGATAGGAGAAATGAGACAGTTGTGAAGGATGACCTTGAAGAATTGTAGAATCATTAAGGATGGAAGAGACCTCTAAGATCTCCTTGTTCAACCACCTACCTATCACCAATATTGCTCACTAAACCATGTCCTAAAATGAGGGTTCCTGTTTCTTCCTAAGAAAACCCTCAGGGACCTTTTTCCAGCATTTCATGGCGAACCAGGAGACATCGAGGACAAGTCAGGGCAAGCAGAAATTATTGCAGTCCAGTTCTGCAATCTGGTGCCCACTGTGATGAAGAAAGTGGCTTGACATGACAAGGAGGAAGATGAAAATATTTTCCCACTGTTGAATGCAGAAGTAAATAAATAAGTAAATAGACAAGCATTCAAATCCAGGAATTTCCTTTCATTGCCAGCATTAGCCTTCAAGGGAGTAGCACCACAAATTTTTTCCTACCACTGTGATGAGCCAAACAAGCAAAGGTTGTGGCTTCAGGGATCCAAACTTCCAGCATCCTAACAAGCAGAGGAAGCATGGTTTACTAACATGCTCCACTGGCACAAAGGCTATAGGTGCCTTGTGCACAAAATGCCAGCACAACAGATGGGAGAACTCCCCTGAAGTTCAAAGGCAGCCATGCCTTCATCCCATACCAGGAGAGAGCCAAGGCATCGAAGGAAGGAAGAAAAGAGGCAAAGGATCAAGAAGAACTGCGGGAGGTCAAATGTGGTGGGGTAGACAGAGATGCTGTGATATAGCACACCACTTTTGGGCAGCTGGCCCAGCTCAAGGCAGGGGTTTTCAGGATGGAGGTATGTTTCTTCCTTTGAGTCTGCTCCCTAAACAACACAATACAGTGGATGTGAACTTTAGCCCCAAGGTATCTGGCACAGAGTCAGCAGCTTGACGGTTTCAGACACTTTTTTGTGGTCAAAGCTCTCTATGAACCTATATATTTACAATTTTAGGACTAAGTCTTGTTCTCATTTACACTTATCTTCTCCATTGACTTACACAATATAACCAGAGGTGGTATTTGGTCTATGCGTTGCTTTTATTTCTTTTGTTGTCTGCCTAGATATATTATTTATGACCCATTAGATACATTTGTTTGTTAACTTACAAACCTCAGAAAATATTTTTCATGAAAGACTGTATTTTTAAACAACCACGTCGCCACTCCTCTATTAGCACTTGAGGATTAAATAAGACTGTGAGTAGTTGTTAAATAACAGTTGGTTACTGAAACACATGTACTGAGGTTTTGGTCTTCCCATTATTGAGGCTAAAGAAACGATGCTTTTTACAACCACACTGATGTTGTCCAGCTGAATTCTTATTTCAAGGCACATTTCAAATGTTGAATTTTAAACCACCACATGGATTTCTCACCCATACCTTCAGCAGCTTTGGACATGCTGTGAAGGAGAAAAGCAGATGGATGCCACAGCTGGTTGTGCAGAAGTCAAATCTGATTCTCTTTTAAAATACAATTAGTTGATTGTTTTTTGAATTTGGGGTTTCTCTCTCTCTCTTTCTATTCTTTCTCTTTTTAAAGCATACTGATTTTTTTGCTGGGTAATACAGCATCTAGGATTTGCTTGCTAGGACAATTATCTCATGCAAGCTGTGCACAGCTGCACTGTTGGTGGAGTTGCAGTTGTACTCACTTTCCTTGCTTGACCAAACTACCAGAAGTCTACTTGTGGAAGTGAGCCCACAGAAACATTTGCGTGCTGAGATTGGTCATGTCATCTCTGATACCTAAATTCATATATCTGCCAACATGCTGCCTGCAATCTGAAACATGCTCCTGTTTCATTCCTGCATTGTCTCACGGATGAAAGAAAATGCCAGGAGAGAAAGAGATGGCTTACATATAGCCAGCAGTTACTTGCTATTCCCTGGGTCCTGTTTTCAATATAAGTGTTTGGTTTAGGTTATTGTTTCTCCTTTTTCCTCTTCATTCATTCGAGCATTCCATCTTGCCATGCAATTGGAGCTATTCAACTCTAAGATAAAAAGGCTGAAGATGCTCAAAGACCAAACTGGGTTGCTCGCTGACACGGACTGAGTCCTGCTTCATATGATTTAGCAAATAGTAGTTCCTCTGAGAAATTATTCTCCATTCAGTTCCTCAGCAAATGTGTCCTGATTGGATACAAATGAGAAAAATGAAATGCAGATGATTTTCTTTTGGCTGCAGCTCTGGGGAGGCCTATGCAGGACGTATATCTTTGGTCAACTGTCTCCTGATTTCTGTCGACAGATGTGTTGTTCCTTCCTACGTACATCCAGGCAGCTCTGACTCTCTACTTTTCAAGGTCTAATTATGACAAAAACTGTTGAAAGTCACAGTAACCTTGTTCCAGGAGTCAGCTCATCCTTCAGAGTAAAAATGCAGAGTCAGCCCTGCCTACATATTGCCAAACTCCACGTACAGAGCTTCCCGTTTGCTGGCACTGACTCTTTAGAAGTGCCTATGCAGTAAGAAACACCAGGCACAGAAATTTAGCTGGAAATCAGCAGAGATCTTGTGAACTGCCACTTCTGCTTCTCTTGCTATTTTGACTTCTCTCATAGCATTGTGAAGTCAGAAGGAAACAACGTAAAAGGAAAGAATGCTCCAAAAAAAAAAACAACACAGACATTGACACAGCAAGAATTGGGTTCCTCTTTGTTCCCTTAGGTACTAAGATATCAAACCCAAAAGCATATGCTTGCTATTTCAAGATGTTCACTGGAAAATTTTTCCTTCATTCTATGGCACTTGTCCATCATATCACGAGACAGTATGTACCTACACCAAAGAAAGATTATCACAGAAAGGCCATCTTCTGTTCAGTTGTTAATCTGTCAGGCTAATCAGCAGAAAACACTAGAAAAACTTCCTTGTTCAAGCTTTTTTGCCATAAGAATAGGCAAACCATACTCCCTCTCTATCAAAAAAAAATGCCTGTCTTTACGAGGCCTCTTGAAATAAGCCAACCTACAGAAAATATTACATACATAGCTAAATAAATAGATGAGGCTAATAATAAAACTATTCCAACAGAGAGATTGAAATCCCCAAAAGCGGGAAAAGGGCTTCTGTGGACATCAGCATGGAATTTATCCCACTATTAAGTTTGAAAGTATCTCACGCACCATGAAGATGGATAGTAGCATGGAACTGGTGTAAAGGTAGATACATCATTGGTCTGGTCCATGGCCAGAATCTCATTCCGCCTCTTGAAACCTAAAGCTGCAAAAGACTAATGTAAAAATCCAATGATATATCAAAGCTACCTGATACCTCCCAAGCTCTGCAAATCAACAATCTTTACAGCCAGAAAAGGGGCTCAGAGCTGTACTTTATTTGTGACCGTACTCTTAAATGTCCAGTTTAGGTAAAAGAGTTTATGATTCTCAGGCTATGATGGATACCCTAACTGCAACCACAGCTGTAAAGACACAGTCAGGATTATTTTGAGCATCCATCACCCACCCAACTTGAGCCTTACGTCTCATCTGTCATCTAAGTAGGGGGTGCAAATCTCATTATAACCACCAGAGTGAGTCATGCATTACAACTTCTGTGCATGTCCATTACACAAGAATAACCTCCCAGGTCCTCCAGTGGGGATGGCAGAGATAGATGGAGATCTCTCTTTGATCTGGGGGGATTCTTCCTCTACCTCCAGTTTGT